GAATGTACGTGTGGACACACATACATAGGGAGGACTCATCGATCTCTGCAAGTAAGGGCTTCAGAGCATATTCCAAAATGGCTCCAGAAACAAATGGAATCATCAGAACCTATTAACGGTGAGAACAGGAGACCTAGCTCTTCTATTGCGAAACATATTATAGAGACAGGTCATAAAATTGATGTTGACAGATCTTTTAAACCTATCTATAAAACGTGTTTGGGGCGTATCCTAAAGTTTGTAGAAGCCCTAGCAATTAGAAAGTTCAAGCCACCTTTATGCGTTCAAAAACAATTTGTCATCACATTAAACCTTCCTTGGTAAATTTTGTTTTGATACCATAGCAGATGTACTATTACCTCTGCTATTTGGTTTAGTGGTCTTCAATTTTATTTTTTGACCTTGAATATGTCCTTTTAACTTGACCTAAGTCTATTTTTCTCACCTCTTACCTCTTTATTAATTTTTTATATATATATTCCTATGACAAGTCCGTGTGTGATCAGATTGTTCGAAATGTGTTGCGCAAATACATTACACGTTTCAGACAAATTACGTCTTCTTATTGCTTTATCTAAATTCATAAAGGGAACTAATTGTTTTAAACAATAACTATGATAATAATAATAATGATAATCATGGACGCCAATCTTATTGAAAGTGTGTCATAGGTAAGAAAGATTTTGACATCTAATGTAGCTGAAGATAGCTCTCAGTTTTCCAAAAGTGCTTAATCAAAATCAGTATTTCCATCTCTTAATGTTCTAATCTTTTCTCTTCATTTGAAAATGATACTTTAACAGCTTATGCAAAATGAAATCACTCTACATTATGGGGGATGATAAACGCGGTTCGCGTAAACACAACCACATGCTACAAATAGGCGTCGTCGTCAATTTATGCATAATCTGAATTATTATTAAAATTTACTATCGATAATGTTAAAGAAATATTAAGATATTTGATTTTCTTGTCACCATACAAATTCACTGAATTACCACCCTTTTAGATTCATTCAATCAAGATGCTAAAACATGGAAAAGCAGCAGGACCAGATGGAATCCCAGCAGAAGCATTGAAAATGGACCCAGAGACAACAGTGGACTTGATGACGTCATTGCTGGAGAAGGTGTGGAAAGAGGGAAAAGTACCCGAGGATTAGAAGAAAGGACACTTATTCAAACTACAAAAGATAGGAGACTTAAGTCAATGCAAAAACTGGCGCGGAATTACGCTCCTGTTCTTCCCAAGCAAAATACTAAGCCGCATCATCCTGGAGAAAATCAAACGCGCCAACCTGGACCAAAAACATTGACCAGAACAAGCTTGATTTAGGAGAAACAAGTCATGTATTGATCAAATCGCCACACTACGGATCATCATTGAGCAGAGCTTGGAATAGCAGTCACCTCTCTATCTCAACTTCATCGACCTTGAAAAGGCCTTCACCAGACAGCGTCGATCGAGAGGTCTTTTGGCAACTACTTCGCTACTAGGGGGTGCCACTGACAATTACACATCTCATCCAACAGTTGTGCGACAATGCTGCATACCAAGTAATCCACAATGGGAAACTTATGGAATCCTTCGAAGTGAAGACGGGAGTAAGACATACTGGCTGTCTACTATCTCCAATGATTTTCCTGATTGCAGTAGATTGGATAATGCAATAGATAATGGGAGGCGAGGAAACAAGCATCAAATGGACCGTCACGAAAATCTTGGAGGCTCTGGACTTCGCTGATGTGATATATGTGTCTGATTTCTCACAAACTGGAAGATGTGCAAGTGAAAAGCAACAAGTTGGCAGAAGAAGCATCAAAGATAGGAAGAACTTCAAGTGAACAAATAGAAAACAGAGGTGATGAAGATTCCTGGGCAACACTAACAGCAACAACAACAACAACAGACAACAATCAGCCAGCACAAATGGGAGAAACCTGAAAGAAGCAACCTCCTTTACCCACCTACCTACCTGGGAAGCATCGTTTCAACTACAGTTGGAGGGAACTGACGAGCATATCAAAGTAAGGACCAGGAAAGCAAGACAAGCTCTCATTACTCTCAAGTCTGTGTGGAGGTCAACAATCAGCAATCAGCATAGAAAATAAGATCCTGATTTTCAACTCCAATGTGAAGTCAGTGCTACTATACGGATCGGAGACTTGGCGTGTCATAGAAAGCACCTCAGACAAACTACAGACCTTCATTAACGGTTGTCTTCGATCAATACTCAAGACCAGATGGCCGGCCAGAAAAGATCAGCAACAGGGATCTCTGGTAATGAGCGAACCAACCAGGAACCGACTGTGGAACAAATAAGCAGGAAGAAATGAAGATGGATTGGCCATACTCTGAGGAAACCGTTTAGTGACGTCACTAGACAAGCCATTGCTCGAGTGGAACCTGAAAGGAAAGCGGTGAGTTGACCGTCGGTGCGTGGTTGACTTCGTCATTTCATGTGAAGTGGAGGTGAAAGCCTGTAGGCAGACTTGTATTAGGGTGAAAATTTTGGGAGAAAACAGAACATAATGGAGTTTCGCTGCTGAAGCCATATATGTTTTTACGAATTATTGGATAATATAATAAATAAAGAAAAGTATTAGCCAAAGGCCTGTGTTAGGAGTTCAATCTAATTTTATGACAATGTAGCTCCTTTTGATGAATGACTCCATTGAGTTGATTACTATTATTATTAGTATTGATTATTATTCCATTTTGGCTTCAACAACTTATCTCCATTTCACTATTTTTTCTTCAGTTTGTTTAGGCCAACCCCAAAAATTTTCATATCCTCTTCATATTCTCTCCTGCATATCACTGCAGTACTCACATCCAACTCGTAATTTGCTTCCTATTTGGGTTCCATTCTGCCTATGGCCTGGTATAAAATGTCGCCTAATAGTCTCCTCAGCATTTAACCAATCCATCTCTTGCATTTTACCGAGCATAATTGTTGCGTAATTGGTCATGACTACTTCGTTCTCGTAATTTCTTGTTACTTATTATTTCTGTCTATGTGACCTTTAATATTTAGCTAAGGCAACTGTGAATAAAAGTCGAAGGTCTCCTGGGGTTTCATGATACTCTGAGTTTCTGATCTGTAGAGCAGAACTGATTGGCTTAACAGTTGTGTTGAAAGTCTTAATCTTGTTCCTGATGCTGAGTGAAGAAGATTTCCAAAGTGTTTTCAGAATAATAATCAAGGTTTGTTTTACCTTTCTGATTCTGAATGGCTATGACATCCTCATCTTTACTGGATGCGTATAGTCAAAAAGATCCTGCATAGCTACTTAATTGAAGGAGGTGATCCTATTAGTTTGTTTATCAGATGTATCACACAGTGAAACAGCGATATTTACTGGATGACGTTTCGAACAAAATTTATCACTGTTCATAATCATTTCATCACTTAAAATCACACAACTTCGAAACTAGTTTTATAGTTTTCTTCGTCTTCTCCTATTTGTCGTTATTGAAGTAGTAGAATTTTCCAAATATCCGGCTGGACAGGTGTTGAATCATTCCTGTTACATGTATTTGCAGTTGATTCGATACAGAAAGCTTCTGTTATCAATCCTCTCCTCCCTATACCCTGTGACATTAGATTTTAAAACTGTCATCTTATCCCATCCACACTATTGTATGGTTGTGTGTAACTGCATGTAGTGAGTGGTACAGCTGAACTATTCTCTAGATTTCTTATCTTATTCGAGTCAACTAATCTAGATTTTGCTAGGTTTTTGTGTTCCATTAGCCTGACTGTCCATGTTCTACTAGTTTGACCTATGTATTTGACCTGACAATCATTGAAGGCAGGTTATTAGATAAACTAAATTGTTTTGTTTTAAAGGCTCCACAGAATTGATTCTTTAACCGACAAAGCTTGTTTCTAATCGAGTTTGTGGGTGGTTTGAATGCAAGCCACTTTTATTCCCGCCTTGTTAAGAATTCTGCGTCAGGTGTTTTCCGAGGTTCCTTCCTTGTATGGAATTACTACTGATGATCTAGATCCCTTATAGTTGGTGTTATCTTGCACATATATGACATGCAAGTCGTCAATAATATTATCATTATTATCACTACTATCATTATTCATTTTATTTTTACATTTCCTTACATATTTCCTGACTAATTTATCCGGATAATTATTAAGTTTCAAGGCTTCTTTTATGCCTATCACTTCCTGTGTTAGATTTTCCTTAGTACTACTAAGCTTTCGTGCTCTGTCATTTAAACATTTCACCAATCCTATTTTTACTGACATAGAATTGGATGATCGGAAGTCCAAATATCTGTTTGAATGTATGGATTTCTTGTAAACACTTTTGTTTAAATTACCATCTTCTTTCCTTTTTACGTTGCAATCTAACATTGGAAGCTCCCTTTCCTCAATTCCCAGTTCATTAGTGAATTGAATTGCCTTTACCTTCAAGTTGATGTGTTCGAAAAATCTGTTTATATCCTGTGTTCTAAGTACAGCGAATGTGTCATCTACATATGTCCATCATACTTTTAAGGTGGGGATGAACGTTTCAATCGCTATATTTTCCCACGTATCCATGGATATATCTGCTACAGCCGGGGATACTTACCACCATAGTGCCCAAGTTTTACAGATACATTAAGAAGGAGGTGATCACTACCAAATTTCTACCATTGACAGTGATTGGTTGGTTATCTTCGTCGTCACCACCGTTTTCTCTATGTTCACTTGAAGTCCTGCCTTCGCTGCGTCCCTCTCCTGCCAACTTGTTGGTTCGAGTCTGTTAGTCTTCACACTTATCTGACATTAGATAAAAAATAGGCCGGGAATTCGACATCTTCTAGAGTCTTCCTGTCGGTCCAACATATTCCCGTCTTCACTCTCTCTCCCCATAGTCTACCACATAATCCAGTCCACTTGCAAAGGCTTGTGTAAACAGTACACCCTGGAAACTATTCACTATATAAACTAGAAATTTTCACATGATTTCATTTCCGCCTCATCTTTCTTCTAGCTCTATCGAAAATAATGAACAATTCACTGTGGACGGATAAATGGAACACTTCATCCTGTACCCATATGTATGAAATCCCTAATACATCACTATCATCAGAGCCCTTCAAATATACAAATAATGATCAGAATTCAATTGGCAAAAATGATGCCGATGAGACTTCAAGGAATCACCTCATAAATTGGTCAAATTTTACAAAAATGAATGAATGGAGCAGAACAGAAATTGGGATACGCATTCTAATGAATATGATAAGTTGGATAGTCGACAGTTATTCATTTCAAACAAGTATTAAAAGTAACCAGGTAAACTAACTGACCACTGCCTGTTTATCCTTTCCAAATAATATGACTGTTAATTCCTTTCATATCCGTCCGTATCTTTTGTGTTCAGATTTACACTACTTATTAGTAGTAAGTAGTATGAGTTATTTTGTTAATCCGTAACCATGATTATTGTTTTGATACTGAAGTTTAATTCAATTTATAAATGCTGTATTTGATATATATAGATATTTATATGGTATTTATTTTCTCATAGTTAAAGACTATATGCTTTGCGTATATACCCTTTTCTGTTGAACACTCTTCATTCTAATCCATTTGTTCTCTGAAGTCGTTTAGGCGGATGGTGACTAGCAGTGGAATCCAGGATGCTTTATGCTTCCTATTTGGAAGTATTCAGCCGGATGTAACTGCATTCCCTAGTGAGTTGTGGATAACGCTTAGGTGTTTGAGACGATGGGTACTACTTGGTTCAAGGCTAAGTAGGAACACCACTACTCAATGAGAAATATAGGTATATCCAGTTGACGAGTTCCAGGTAGGACGAAATGCGTGTCTTGGATTCCACTGCTAGTCACCATCCATCAAAGGACTTCAAGTCAATTATCAGACATTGTCGAAGCCAACATGTCAATAGAGGCTAGACATTTAATCCAATCAGTCAAGGGAAAATCAAAAACTGAATTACAAATAAATACCCTTCATTCCTTGTTTGGTATTCGTGCGCTGTTTAATTCGACCGTCAATCAGCCATTGACATAGCTTTGTTATTTTGCTTATTAATGCTCAGTGACTGCGTATTTGATAGTGTTCAGGCACATACGCACCTCACAATCTGAGTACCGTACCTTAGACAAATCCTGTCATTTGGTTGTGTGGTTTAAATTTGTACATTGGATTATCGATCCGGACCGCTTAGAAGAAATCAACGATTGTGAAGGTAAAGAATAGAGACACATGGTTTGTGTCTGAAGCAACCAATCAATTCGAGTCATCAAATGGAAATGTGTTATGTACTCGTCGCTAAATTATTGTTATGGACTGGTCGAGAAACTAATAGTCCTGACGCAAGAAGGCGGAAATCAGAAGACCACTAGGTTTGCGATGATACTTCTATTTCCAAACACAAGGAGAATGCAAAAGTGGTAACACACCAAAGTAAGTGTCAGTCACACAAATTGTGAGAGCGAAATATATATGAATGTTCAGACAAGGGTGTGAACAATCATTAGAAAGTCTTAACATGAATGGCTAATTATAATGAAGTATCGATCCATATATACATAGCGAAATATAGCAGACATGTCAACAACCACCATATATGGATATATGTCACCAAGCAACGGACTGTCAACAAACACTCATATATAATATAATATAAGGGGAATATACATTGTTAAAGGAGACAGGTTCATACAAGTGAAATGAACACAGACTAAGAGAGCAAACAGAAAGAGAGACCAACATACATATAATATAATATATTCACCAACCGCAGATTAAGCTTCTTCCTGTATAGTCTGGTGAAATAAACTCTCTGGTCAAAGATATTTGATTTACAGAAGTTCAATCAAACCATCGTTTTTCGTAAGTCTACTACCACTTTGAGTTGATCCGATTCTCTGACCTAAGTGTACAACTAAGCACACAGTTGATAAGCTAACTTTCAACAGTCAGAACGTTTTTTTCCGAAATGTAACCAGCAAGCACTACTATTGTTGTCTCATATACTCTGTCTCTTATTCGATGTATATGCAGATGGTCGGATTTCAAGTAACTAAAGATACTAAGCTTCATATCCATATTAAATCCTGCAAAGTGAAGGTCCAGTCTTGCATCATATCAATCTTCAGGAAGGTGCTCACTGAAACGGTGTTTCCCGCCAGGGAATTCAATTGGTTTACAATGCAATATGTGGAATGAATTTTCATACGCAGACGATTCGACCATGATTTTTGAAACTTACAGTGAAATCCATGCAATTAATCAGTCATAGAGAAAAGGAATAAGCAGGATAAATCAACACTGAAATCATTGATTCAGGCATTCAGGAGAGCAAAAATACTAATCCCACCTATTTTTAAGACCGTAATGTCATACACTCTCACCGTGTGGAACTGTCACAAGGTTTCCCTTTGTCATTGGTGGACGGTTACTCACTTTTACTGCATATGGCTAGCATGTTGTATCCAATTTCAAAAAATAATTTTTGTTAGAACAAGAGAAGACATTTTACGGGTAAGCGTTTCTCCCGTGATCTCTAAAACTGATGTTTGACCTCAACGTAGATTATTGGTGCACACTATCCAGTTAGAGCACAACACTTTACATCTCAGACTGTTAGCCGTAATCCTGCCAGAACAATAAATGCCTGCCTTCTCAACCGGTCTTCTGTTTCCTTCTCAGTGTGAGAATAGAAGTCCAGTGATTAGTCGTATATTGCTGTCCAGCGTTGAAAAAGTCGTAGGATGAACTCAACTCCACTACTATTCCATTATGGATAAGATTTTATTTTGATAAATCACACAGTGTTACATAGTAATATTTACTGATGACCATGTTTCGGGCACAAACTATTGCTACTCATAATCATATCAAGCTACTCACACAACTGTTTTCCTTCATTTATATACATGTGTGGAATCGATTTGGTATTGGGATAAAAATCAATGCAGGATAATGTACATTCAGAAATAATAATATGAGTGTTATTGATCAATTAGAGTTAGATGAGAAATAAGACGAGTGTTTATATAGTCATAACAAGTAACTTGTTAGAATGTTGTGATGTGCTTGAATCGAAATAGAATTTTGAGATTATTTATTATCCTCTTCTGATTTGACTGACTGGTGGTAATAATGTCTTCCATATTTCTGGTATTTGCATTGAGTCATTTCTGTTGCATGTGTTGTGTTGGGTGTAGATTCTATGATCGAAGATTCAGTGATCAATCTCTCTTGCTATCCACCTACATAGATTACTTTTTAGAATCTAGATTCTAAAAAGTAATCTTGTAGTGGAAGCAAGAGAGATTGATCACTGAATCTTCGATCATAGAATCTACACCCAACACAACACATGCAACAGAAATGACTCAATGAAATACCAGAAATATGGAAGACATTATTACCACCATCAGTCAAATCAGAAGGGATAATAAATAATCTCAAAATTCTATTTCATTCAAGCACATCACAACATTCTAACAAGTTACTTTTATGACTAAAAACACTCGTCTTATTTCTCATCTAACTCTAATTGATCAATAACACTCATATTATTATTTCTGAATGTAATTATCCTGCATTGATTTTTATCCAATACCAAATCGATTCCACACATGTATATAAATGAAGGAAAACGTTGTGTGAGTACTTGATATGATTATGAGTAGCAATAGTTTGTGCCGAAACTGGTCTCAGTAATATTACTTGTAACACTGTGTGATTTATCAAAAAAAATCTTATCCATAATGGACTACGCGGAAAATTCTGTACATTATAAAACATTGTTCAGAATAAAGCTGATACTATTAGATAAAGCAGTAAGAAGACGTAATTTGTCTGACTCGTGTAATATAAGTAAGGGCTTCAGAGCGTATTCCTAAATGTCTCCAGAAACAGATGGAATCTTCAGAACCGATTATTGGTGAGAACAGGAGACTTAGCTTCTCTTTTGAGAAACATATTATGCAGACAGGACATAAAATTGACATCGACAGATCTTTTAAGCCCATCTATAAAACGTATTTGGGGCGTATCCTAAAGTTTGTAGAACCCCTGGCCTGACGTGTCTAATCCATCTCCACTTCATCTCCTGCATATTTGTTGGTTGGCGATTGGTTTGTTCTTGTTTTGTTCGTTCCCATAGTTTCTTGTTGGTGATTCTTTCCGGCCCGGCCATCTGATCTTCAGTTTAGATCCAGCGAAGACAGTTGTTGGTTGATAAAGGTCTGCAACAAGCTGTTGAAAATATTCTTTGTGACCCGCCCGCCAAGTTTCTCATCCGATCCGTATAGAAGAACTGACTGACTTTGCGTTTGTATTGAAAATCCAACCGAATTTTGTTGTAGATGCTGGCTGAGTGACGAAGATTTCCAGATTGGTTTCAGGTTGATGATGTTGATGTGTTTCTCGCCTTCCCGATTCTCGCTCGATTTGACATCCTCGTCCGTTCCGACTTCCTGTAGTTGAGACAATGCTCCCTAGATAAGTGAGTGAATTAAGTATCCTCTTTCAAATCCCTCACGTTGATGGTGATTGGCACTGGATGTTGCTTCTGTTATTGTTGGTTAGCTGGTTTGTTATTTTCATAACCTCCGTCTTGTCTATATTCACCCGGAGTTCTGTTCTGTCTTTGCTGCTTCTCCGACCAGTTTGTCGGCTTTCGCTTGTAAGTCTTCGATTTTGTGTGACATTAAACATAAATTCTCCGCGAAATCCAGGTCTTCTAGGTTCTTCACGTCGGTCCAGGATATCCCTGTGTTCTCGTTTCCCACTATCTGACGCATTTAAAAGTGATACTAAGGCAGAAATCCTCAGAAAATGGCTTCCAAAATCTTGCAGCAACGCATACTTGACTGCCAGCCTACCAGTAACATTTTCATGCAAGAAAGTATCCGGTTTGTATGTGAAAGATAAGTTGTCATATTCGGCCAAATCATCATGCATATATACTCCTGTGGAGCTGAGTACACCATGTATCCGCATATAAAACGCTTTTGGGAACACTGTCCAACTTAGTTAGCGAAGGGAGAACGTAGGCGTGCTTATAGCTTGATAACAGAACATCTAGCGAAGACAAGACACTTAACCCCTATTGAAAAGTCCTTCAAAGTTCTATGCAAGACTCCATCAAACCCCTCAAAGGAAGTAAGAGCAAGACAATGGGTATATCTGAAGCACTAGTGATCCAGAAATTCAAGCCGGGGCTGTGTATGCCAAAAAGTACACCCAACATTTGTCTTTAACGTGGTTGTCATAATTAGTAATTCCAGCTGTCTTTCATCTGAAATCCTTATTAACTTTTTGTTATTACTTCGTTTCGAATCCACATTATTAATCTTATTATTCATCATAATTTAATCCTCGATTGGAAATACTTGTGGAACCTTCTCAAACATTCATAACATATATTCACCAAAGTACAGCCTAACTGATGGCTTAATCGAGAAGAAAATTTTCTTTTTGCTGCCACAGTCTTTTCTTAACTTTTCATATTATTTCTGTGTCACATTCTAACTACTTATAAGTAGAAACGTGTAGATTAAGAAAAAGAAACACCATCAACATGAGATGGATGTCAGGACTGTAGTGAATAATGCGTTTATTGATTTGATTTGATGATGACTGGGTTCGAGTTTGAGTGGGAATACTACAAATCACTGACGACAGCAAGCACATGCATCTGACGATTCATGAATGAGACTAGGCGTGAGTTGTGAATCCCACTGCTAATAGTAATAGCATTATTCGGAACAATGTTTTTAAAATATACGGAATTTTCCGCGTAGTTTAATGCATCATATTTTCTCTTCGTATAGGGCGTTCAAAATATATTCACGAATATACAGCCTATCTCATAACTTCGTCGAAAGGGGGATTTTCTTTACTTCCAACCTTTTTTCTAATTTTTTCCATTATCTAATGTGTAATTAATTCAATTTTAGATTTTCCCATCGTCTGAGTGGACCGAATTACTCGGTCTCAGGCTGACATATCGGCTTCTTTTGCAGAGGCTTCGTCAATGTCTGGGCATTTAATTAGAATTTATTCGGTGGATGGTGACTGGCACTGGAATTCAGGATGCGCATTTCGTCCGTTCTGAAACTCGTCGTCATCTAGATGTACCTGCATTCCTCAAACACAATGGATAACGAACGCTTTGGCCTTTGAAACTACGGGCAATGGGTTCGAGCCTTGGCGGGAAAATCATCTTTCACTGCGGAATATAGGTACATCCAGATTACGAGTCTTAAATAGGGTTGATGTGCATATTTTACATTTTAAAGAATTCTTATATTTTTTTGTTTGTTGTTGTTATTTGAAGGCTGCTGATTTAATGGACACTAATTGGATCTACATATTTTATATTCATGTGATCGAGTATTCTCATCAACAAAAATTCTGCAATAAGAATATTAATAATAATAATAACAGATATGGGATTGAAAATCTATTGCTGTCAAGAAATACTACATCAATATCAAATACTTCCACTATTAATAATTTCCCAGCTTCACCAGCAATGAGATATCTGATAACTAATCATGATTCCCTTGATATTGTCAGCTCATTTATACGATATTTAAACGACTTTAATTTAACCGCAGAAGAATGTGAATATGTAAAAGTTAAAATATTTAATGTGAACAAACTAGGTAAGAAAAAAGTTGTTGTTGTTGTTATTATTATGGAATTTCTTTTCTCATGATAAGTTTTATTCATGCTGGTTTATCGAAAACAGCAGCCCTCCCAGCTCTCCATTCCTGCGGTTGTGATTGTGTGACAGAACGGGGGATTGCTTAAGAATGCTTGGTTCTCCTGTGTAAACTAAATGCATAGTTATCCAAACAATAAGTATATCATTAGATGGAGTGGAGAAATGGCTCGTTTTACATTAGACAAGTTGATTTCAAATATCACACGGTGATGCATTATATTAACAAGTGGATGACATTCCGAGCATAAATTATTGTTCATAATCATGTCACTTTAGTCACATGGCTTCATGATTTGCTTTATATATATATATATATATATCCTTCCTTTGCTGTCTGTTCCTACTTTCCATATCTCCGACATAAGAGTTGCGTGTGCGGTGTTGATTCGATAAACAAAGCTTCAGTGATTAACCTCTCTCTCTCCATCTAACTATATTACTTTTAATACTCTCACCCTGTCCCACATAACCTACTGTGAGATAACATGCAAGGGAATGCAATACAATCGCTGAGCTTTTTTCTAGGTTATATAACTTAGTAGGGTCAATCGTTCTAGTCGCAGGTAAATTTGTATGCTCTGGTAAATGCTTAGACTTTAATTCCTCCCATCCAGAATCGGGGAAGATTAGTTTAGTTAAATATCTGTGTATTCTGACTAGAAGCCTAAATAATAAGCCAGAGGATTTAAGTAGTGAAATCAAAGAAATAAAGAAAATATTATCAATGCATGACTACCTACCGTAATTTATTCAGAAATGTATAAGAAACCATAGGAAAAATAAGACTGGTAATAAAAATTGACGAAAATAACATAGAATTGAAAGCCTCTATAGTTCTGCCTTATAAAGACGGAACATCGGAGGTTTTCTGTAGAATTCTAAAAACGAGGCAGAAGTTAGGGTGGCATTGGAACCAACCAACTCACTCAGAAATCAAAATTTGTCGGCTAAAATAGCCAACAGATACAATTAAGAAAAATAATATAGTGAATGAAAATTCATGTAATGACTGACTGTGAGATCAGTTACATAGGTCAAACTAATCGATTGGCGTCAACTAGATTATTTTGGAGCCTTCCCCTTCAGGAGTGAGGATAAACACTAGCCGATGACATTTGATGGTGATCGCTGTAATTTAATGAATTGACAGAAGTTAAAACAAGTGGACTGGCCATTCAGCCGGGTCTCAGTGGCTTACCCTGTTTACTGAAAATCTTCGGTTCAGTTCACGGCAGATGCGCACTTTTGAAGAGTCGCAAAACTAGGACAAAACAGGTGTCCAGTACTCCCTGGCTTTCGATGTTTCTCTAACTGACATCTCAACTTGTGGTCAAACTTAAAACAAGTAAAAATTAATGAAAAGTAGCGTTCCAATATTTTTCACCAGAAACTCCATTTACCAACTCGCACGTATTTACGGAAGGAAAATATACTGAAGCTACAAGTACAGTTAATTATTTACGTAAATATTTAGGTATACGGGAAAGTAGATGAGTAATAATACCACTCAGTAGATAATGCGAACGTTACTAATAAATATCAAGTTGATCAAAATCATCAACAGACAACGAAACGAGAAATCTCTGGACTTTACAGAAATGAGCGTTGAAGTTTCAGTAAGGATGCAGCTAGCAGCTTCACACATCCCAAAATTTCACTGTTAACCAACGTCAACGAAATAATATGCATATTTGTCTATGCTCATTTTAAGTCATTGTCTGCCTTAAAGTAATGTTTGACAAACATTTCGTTGTCATAATAGACATCATCATCATCAAAATCCGTGTTTCATGGTGAAGTGAAAACAGACTAACTCTATCTAGATATATATATGAAATACAGATTTTGGAAGACTATTTAAACCAGTAAATATTTATTTCCCATAAATTCTCATCAGGCTGTATAATTACATAACATTTTAACTGATTAAAAATGCCCATTAAAATCATTTTTTTTTCAAAAGAATGGTTACTGAACAAAGAACATTCTTTGTCCATAACCTGTTCTTCATCAGGTTCTACAGTTATAGTATACATCATAGTAGTGAATGAGTTTGCATTATTAACAACATTAATGCTGATTAAATAACATCAAATCAATAATAATTTCGATGGATTACAGTTCAATAGCATCAACATAACAATAAACTGAATATCAGAAAAATTACGAAAGATAATATGACAAATTCATGAATTTATAGTCTCTACTGAAGACCGGCCAAGGCAGTAGTATTGTAACAACAGAAGACAAGGGCCAGGCAACAGATCGTTTTATTATGAAAATCAACACGTATTTATAGATATTTCACATACATTATTATAGCTTATGCGAGTAGAAAAGCGCAGTCATCTGATTGGTTGTTTATCAGAAGTTAAGCAGGCAAACGCAGGCTTCTGATTGGTTGCTTCGGGATTCCTCGAAAAATAGAGTTCTCTATCTGCGAATCATATTTTGCCACGTTAAGTCTGCTGTGATTGGCTGTTGAATCAGCCTTGCTCATATTTTCTCACGGCCTGCTCTCACCACAGTAGTAGCTGGCTGGATTAGCTTCTTTCGCACACAAAGCACTGGTTGTATCACGCGAATCGCAACAGCCTCTGCTGTATAGAGCATGCTGTACTTCAATGTTTTTGGGCAGTTTATTTGGTACTCAGTGGGTGACAGAGAAGGATTCTTCAATGTTAACTGGATTTGTGACCAGTTTGAACCAGATGGTCTAATATGTAGAACTGTTGATGGTTTCCACTACACCTTTACTCAGCCATACTGGCAGATGTTCTCAAACACGAAAAATCAAATTCCTAGAGCAACGACCAATATATAACTGGCTCCACCACAAGCGCAGTTGAATTGGTAGATATGATTAGAAGTGGCTAGTCTAGATATTTCACCTTTTAGTTGGAGAATCATCAACCGTCATGTAGGATATACGACTTGTAGGTCGCGAACATTAACAAATTTCCAGTCAGAGACATTTGAAACAATCTGGACTATTGGAATCAAATATAAACAAGGAAAATTTAAGCAAAACAGTAATAATCAACTGTAAAACTAAGATTAAAATACTAATTTACCGTTCAAAGGAGACATATCCACTGAATTACTTGCATCCAAAATCCAAAGCATAACAGCCTAAACATCATGTGACACAAGGCTATGTTTAAAATTCATCACTCGCTGTATAGGTGAAGGATAAGGCACCGAGTCTATCCAAGTCAGTGTACATTTACAAATTTAACTGTTATGTGAAGACAATTGCACAGGTAGAAAGACTTGGAAGGCCGATAGTCACTTTCTTAAGCATTATGCAACGTGACTAGAGAAAGGAGTTGTAAAGCTAATCCGAAGTCCTGTATTGACACACCTTGTAGATACGAAGCTATAGATTGATATTGATTTCTCTTAATTATTACAAGGCCCAGGTAGCCGCAGAAATGAGCAGATAGAGAACAGAAGTGTTGGGAATCTGCAAGAGTAGATGGAATGGATGTGAAAGGTGCCAGCTATCAACTGGAGAGACAATAATCTATTGCGGTCACCCAGAGGACAACCATGGGGACACCAAGGGAATGGCCATCATGATGTCATCAACAGCAACCAAAGCCCTCATGCAGTGGGAACCAATCTCATCCGGGATAATGACAGCCAGGTTCAACTCAAAAGGAAGGAAGCTTCCAATCATCCAATGCTGTGCGCTTAAAAACGTCTCAGAACAAGAGAAGAAGGAGGATTTCTACAGACAACTACAAACAGTAATGGACAACGTCCCAAATGGCGATATCAAAATCCTGATGGGTGATATGGATTCTAAGCTGGGAGGAGACAACACAGAAAGAGAACTCACTATGGGTCGGGAGGCCCTCGGTGATATGAACGACAATGGTGAACTCTTCTCAGACTTCTGCGCCTTCAATGATTTGGTGATTGGTTGCAGCGTTTTCAAACACAAGGATATACAAAAGGCAACATGGATTTCACTAGATGGACACACCAAAAACCAGATAGACTTCATTTCAATCTCAAGGAGGTGGAGACGGAGCCTACTGGACTCATGATAAAGGAGAAAAGCAGATGTGGGTTCAAACCACTATCTAGTACAAGGGACTTTCAAGGTGAAGCTAAAAGCCTCGAGAATAGTTGAGGATAAGCCACAATGCAAGTTCAACACTCAATTACTGAAGGACACAACCACAAAAGACACTTTCACTGCAACTGTCAGAGCAAAGCAGGAAACACTACGCGACATCACTGAAGAATTATGCGTGGAAGAACATTGGAAGTCTCTGAAGGCGATTCTCAACGAAACGTGTTCAACGGTTCTAGGAAGAAAGAAGAGACAAGACAAGGAATGGCTCTCAACGGACACTTGGAAATTAATAGAAGAGAGGAGAATGGTGAAAGAGAAAATGATTCAATGCAAGGACGGACAGGAGAAAGAGACGATGAGCTCAACTTACAAAGCATTGGACAAAGAAGTGAAGAAAAGTGCTAGGAAGGACAAAAGACGATTCTACGACAATCTAGCTACTGAAGCTGAAAAGGCAGCAGGCAAAAGGGACCTGAGGACACTATATCAGATAACCAAATCTCTATCCGGGAAGAGACCAACACAAGCGAAACCTATAAAAGACAGCCAAGGGAAGCCCATTACCAAGGAAAAAAAACAGATTAAACAATGGGCGGATCACTTCAAAGGACTCTTGAACCGACCATCACCTGCAACCCGTCCAGAAATACCAACAACAACACGTACACAACTGCAAGTTGACACCAATCCTCCAAAGAAAGCTGAAGTCTTGAATGCAATCAAGCTTCTGAAAGCTGGAAAAACAGCTGGACCAGATGGAATACCCCCTGAAGCACTGAAAGCGGACCCAGAGACTAAAGCAGACATGCTGACTCCATTATTGCAAAAGGTCTGGAAGGAGGGAAAGGTGCCTACTGACTGGAGGAAAGGTTACCTCGTGAAACTACCAAAGAAGGGCGACTTAGGACCCACTCTGCAAGAACTGGCGAGGAATCATGCTCCTATCGACGCCAAGTAAAATCCTGAGTCGCATCATCCTGGAGAGATTAAAGGACGCACTGGATACAGAACTCCGACCAGAACAAGCTGGATTCAGGAAAGGCAAATCATGTACTGACCAAATTGCAACTCTACGCATCATCATCACAGAACAAAGCATGGAATGGCAATCAAACCTCTACCTCAACTTTATAGACTTTGAGAAGGCCTTCGACAGCGTTGATAGCAAAGTAATTTGGAAACTACTCGAGTACTACGGCGTACCCCAAATATTCATCAACCTTATTCAACAGCTGTACGACAATGGCACATGTCAAGTGATCCACAACGCAAAACTCAGCGAGACATTTGGAGTAAACACAGGAGTCAGACAAGGGTGTTTCTTATCACCAATGATATTCCTAATTGTGGTAGACAGACTGGATTATGCGTCAGACAGTAAGTGGGAAACGAGAACACAAGGATATCCTGAACCGACTCGAAGAACCTAGAAGACCTAGATTTCGCGCGTGGATGATTTATGTTTAATGTCACACAAAATCGAAGACTTACAAGCGAAAATCGACAAACTGGTCGGGGAAGCAGCCAGCGAAGACAGGACTCCAAATGAACATAGGCAAGACGGAGGTTATGAAAATAACCAACCAGCTAACCAACAATAACAGAAGCAACATCCAGTGCCAATCACCATCAACGGGAGGGATTTGAAAGTGGTTACTTCATTCACTCACTTATCTAGGGAGCATTGTCTCAACTACAGGAAGTCGGAACGGACGAGGATGTGAAATTGAGCGAGAATCGGGAAGGAGAGAAACACATCAACATCATCAACCTGAAACCAATCTGGAAATCTTCGTCACTCAGCAAGCATCTACAACAAAATTCGGTCGAATTTTCAATACAAACATTAAGTCAGTCAGCTCTTCTATACGGAACAGAAACTTGGAGGGTTACAAAGAATATTCCCAACAACCTGTTGCAGACCTTTATCAACAAATGTCTTCGCTGGATCTAAACTGAATATCAGATGGCCGGGTCGGAAAGAATCACCACCAACAAGAAATTATGGAAGGGAACAAACAAAACAAGAACCAATCGTCAACCAACAAATATGCAGGAGAAAGTGGAGATCGTGGATTGGACACTGGCTCGCTGAAGGGGCCGCTGGGTGACATCGCGCGTCAAGCCCTCGTGTGGAACCCGAAATGGAAGCGGCGTGTGGGACGTCCAAGGGTGATATGAAGCAGATGGTGTGAAGAGGAGTTGAAGGAGTATGGACTAACATGGATGCAGGTGAAAAGTACAGCAGAAGCAAGTGGAGACGTGCAGTTGAAGCCTTATGTTCCACTAGGAACCCAAGGGAACAATAATAATAAATATCTTCAATAGTAATGCTAAATCAATGGAGTGCTTCTGTATGGTTCAGACACTTGACATAAATGACATAAAAAGCATTTTCAACAGTCTACTTCAGGTTTTCATCAACAGCTAGCTCCCTTCACCTCATGCTGAAGATCAGAAGACCATGCAGAAAGTATAAGCAAGATGGAAATCTAGCAACTAGACCAACCAGGAACTTATTGCCCCAGCGAACAACCATGAGGATAGAAATGAAGATGAACTGGACATATTCTAAGGAGATCGTGGAGGGATATCACGCATCAGACCTTCAAGTAGAACCCGAATAGGAAGCGATTGGTTTGGTGTAAGTCCGAGGGTGAGATGAAGGAATTCATATAAGAAGAGAATGGAACAGTATGAGTAGTCATGGAGAATGAAACGAGGATGTCTTGTGGAGCCTCTACGTTCCAACTGGACTCCAAGGAAATAATGACGGTAATCATGATAGTTTAATATTCCTAACGCTATTATTAGTTTATTCTATTTGTTTTTGTTTATTAGCTTAATACTTCTTTTATTTTACAGGGTGCAGTAGAAAAAGAACATCCGATTGCGTAATACCAAATTCCGGATTAAGGTATGAAGTGATGAACAGTCTCTGTGAACAACTAACAAGTTTCGATGGAAATTGGTTGAAACATCTTTGTATGCAAACATTTTTCACAGCAATAATCAATAGTAATAATAATAATAATGACAGCTTACTACTCTTAGATTACATTGTACAAAATTTATTCAGTGTAATTGCTTTCACGTATCAGAGTGCATAGAAATTTTGAAGAAATAAAATATACTTAATTACATAAGTAATGACTTCTAGCTTACAATTAAATTGATAATCCCCATTGATAGTTCCCATTGTAGCATTAAGAACACAATATTCAGCGAAGAGACTCTTTTCAACGAATTAATTATCGAGCTGTACAATCTTATATATATATCTATGGGAAAAATGAAGTGTGTGCGAAGCTCTTTCCTGGAACACCTGATCGACTTCCGTCACTCTGTCAACCCTAACCATGATTTCAAGATCATATACAGAATCCATGCTAACTTGCTGGCCGTGTTTTCTTCGTTACAGACTTCTAAAGACAGCTGAGGCCTTGGCAATTCATGACTTTAAGCCAGACACACCTTTGTGTACAAAAGAAGTATGTACAATCCCCACTTCTGTCTTGGCTGTAAAGGGGATGGTCATTTATTTATTTTGTTTATTTAGTTATTCTATGTACCTTTCCCTCATCACTACGATCATTATTATTATTACTATTCTCACTGAATTATTTCCGCTTGACCCACTTGTCATTCTAAATCCAAAATTATTCATTTTTATATTTTTTTTTAAAAATTGAATCCTATCTTATCAAATCTCACACCATGTTATGTAACATTTTATATTCGTCTACTAATCTTATAATTATGTACCCCTTTACGAAATCTATACACCTTATGTATTATTATATATATGACATTAATTATTTTGCCACTTGACATGAAACTATTATTATAACCACAAATATTTTAGTTTATAATTGCATGTTTATTGCATGCATATTTCATGTATTCACACCTTTGACCTAATTCCCTCACCGGATATAATTTTTAAAAAAAACCATATATATACGATTGTACAGCTTCGTTGAAAAGAGTTTTTACGCTGAATATTGTGTTCTTAATCTCCATTGCGACATAAAAACAAACATTGGCTTGTGGTGGCGCCAAATCGTCAATTCGCAGAATTTGGAATTCATGGGCTGGTCATTGAGTCAAATCCCAATGGCTTAATGGTCTACGAGCTCGTCTTGTAACCAGAAGGTCCTGCAGTCGGAACCCCGGTAAGTGTGTATTGACGAAGAGTCCAAAACTAGGACGAAACAGCTATCTAGTACTCCTTGTTGGTTTTTCAATGATTCTGCAACCAAATGCCAGATCATGATAGAATCCAGTAACCAATCAAATCCCTGGAAGCCAACGCTTGAATAAAAGGAAATATTTCAGCGAAGAACACTCTCTTTTCGACGAATTCGTTTTCATAGTGGTACAATCGTATGTATATTTATAAATTACAGTCGACAATCATAACAAGTTTTCTTGTGTATGTTAAAGTTTGACAGTGAGTGTAAATACTAAAGTGCTATAATAATAATAATATTGGTGCATACGATTATAAGTCACAATTGATTAAATATATTAATGAATAACTAAATAAATTGAAACCAACCTAAAGTTCAATAAACTTGCGTGAAATAGATCCTCGGAAAATAAATTACACTTAGAAATCTTCATTAGTTGGTTCTTGATATGTATCCACATGATGTGTGTTTTGTTATTGACAGTCTGTTATATTTTGCTATGTGTATATGGATCGATATTCCATTATAACTGACAATATGCTTTTGTCTGTCCACTAACTAAATAAACATGTATGACTTTGTTATCACATGACATTACAACCAATCATGATAAGACCGTCTGTCTATTGGTTCATGTGTATTAACCATTTTCATATATACTTTTGTATTAGACACTTGTTCATACTTGTTCCCACGTTTCGTACACTACGTACCATTTCACTCACACTCTTGTGTGACATTTATATTCCTTGTCTGGAAAAAACAAGTATCATCGTAAACCTGGTAGTCTTCTGATTTCCCTCTTTCCGCATCAGGACTATTAACTACTCAACAATTACATAACAGTTCTTAAGGATTTGTTTTGAAGAGTTGATCACCGATTGATATCAGTTAGAGAACCATTGAAAACAACCAAGGAGAACTGGAAAGCTGTTTCATCGTAGTTTGAGAATCCTCGGCAGTACGCACACACCACCATCGTCCGAACCCAGAACCTTCCGGTTACAAGGCTAGCAATGTTGTATACCATTCAGCCACTGGGAACAGATTCAATGGCCAGCCCATGAATTCTAACTTCCAACAATTCGTGATTTAGCGCGACTAGCACCAACCAATGTCATCAGTGGGACATCCATTCTCATACTTGACAGGATAAACCTCACTGTGCATGACTTCTCACTAGAACTCTAGGAATCTCCGTCCTTTAGCACTCACACTCAGAAATGTGAATGAATATGTGAGAATAATATGACTGAGATATAAGATGAGTAAAATGTTGTCAAAATATGAAAACATGTTTTCAAGAGTTGGATTGTAGAGATTTAAAAGTCACTCTGAACAAAGAATATTCTTTTCAATAATTTCTCCTCTTCAGGTTCTTACAGTTACAAGCCAGCTATGCGCTTGGACATATTTTTTACGTAGAATAACAGATTAGTTATGCGACGTTAGAATAAATAATATGAGAGAAAATATTTTATACAATATTCCTGACCGCTGTAAAAATATCATCATGTTTTGACGTGTTTTCTACAAAACAGACAACATGCACACACACATACAGACAAATCTGAACATGTGACAATTTGACATTAGTCATTACAAATATGTCATGACTGTATATATAGATTTTTCCATTGGCGTAAATGTCTACCGATAAGCGACCTACAGAGGAACTCACTTCCCTTTATAGTAATAATAATTCGCTTTAATCCCCAACAGTACTTGTGATACAGAATGGAATTCTCAGCATTTCACTACATAAAGTATTGCATCCAATTAGTACATTAACAATAAATAAAATTCTACATAGATTAAGGGTAATCTCAGTTAGTTTTGACAACAACATATTGGCATGTCGGTAGCAAAGCCAAAATTGAACAGTGTTTGAAGGTGTTAGAAAAGTAGATACTACTAGCATATTTACTGGTGTAAGCGGTAACAAAAAGATATACAGAGTGTGAGAGAACGAAGAAGAATGTTTTAAGTAGAGTTTGTAAGGAAGAGAGAAACAAAGCAGCACATAACAACAACAAAAAAGAGAAAAGGAAAACAAGGAAAGAAAACATTGTACCTATAAATGATATGAGTTGGAAAGACGAGATCCAGTTGTTCTACTGATTATTTAATAAGTTATAGGTATCGCGCCTTATACTTTCTTTATTGCACAGAACACGAGCTAAGTAGGGTACGGTTGAGTTTTTGGATGTGCTGGTGCAAGCATAAAGTTTTCTATATAGGATTCTGGTTCTGCCTAGCGAGATTCAAGGGGAGAGTTGTGAATGAAGAGGGTGGTGTGAGTTAGAATGATAGAATGGATTTAGCCCATTTTTCACATGAGTCCATGTGCCTGTCGTTCAGATTATTAACAAGCTGATTAAGTGGCACGTTGCTTATCCTGCTGACAACCTTTAACATCCTGCTTAATAAGGTATGGTCTTTCTTCAGTAGCCCTGGAAAAACTAAAGGGAAAGAATAGAGAATAATAGGCAGAATGCGAGAGTTAACGAATCGTAGGAGTAAAGGTTGAGTTTGGCTATTCCAGAATGTCTTAACTTCTTGATGTAGAAGGTAAGACGGAATATTTTCTTAGAAATCATCAAGATATGAGAAGACCAGGAAAGATCAGCAAATAGAGTGACGCCTGGGTATTTAATTTCCGACTTGGCTTCTATTTCAGTGCCATCTATGTTGCACACCTCGTGATTGGTAACCAGTTTGCTTAGGTCAGATTTGTGCTTAAAGGTGAAATTAACTGTTTGGCATTTGGAGGGGTTTAAGGTGAGACCGTTTTCCTTGGGCCATTGGCTGATTTCTGATAAAAAGCCATTTAGTCACTTTGACATTTGACAGGCAAAGATACAGTCAGGTCGTCAGCATATTTGACAAAATTATTGCCATTTGAAGATGGTAAGTCATGTAGAAAGAAAGAAAAGAGAATTGGGGAGAGTACAGCGCCTTGGGAGACACCAGCTTCCGTGAGCACAGCAGAGGAGGATTTACCTTTGTATACAGTGTACTGCATTCTGTTTGAGAAGTAGGAATGCAACCACTTTATGACCCAGGATTCAGTTTGTGGCATCGAGAGCTTATTTAGCAAGAGACATCTGGATACAGAGTCGAAAGCAGAAGTGAATTCGAGAAACGTGCAGTGGACATATTTGGCACCTTTATCTAATGATGAGACAATACTGTTGTGTAAGACGGCTGCAGCGTCTAAAGTACTCCTACCCTGTCTGTAGGCAAATTGTTTGGGGTCTTTGAAGCTTTTAAGGGAGGTTTCAAGTTCAAGAAGTACTGGTTTTGTCTATAAGCTTTAGAAATGGGGAAGTAATGGCAATGGGTCTAAACTTTACGTTCTTGTTATTGGCAGATTTAGGGGCAGGGACTATTTTAATGTCTTTCCATGCAACAGGTACAACATTTTTGGAAAAAAAAGCATTTAGGATGTTAGTTAGAGGAGAACATAGAGCATCTGCACATTGTTTTAGGACATAGGTAGGTACACCATCAGGGCTGAATGGTGCACGATCTTTCCTTGCAAACAGATATCCTGGGTTTGAACCCTTGTGGTGGATACGTGCTGGCGAAGAGTCCCAGACTAGGATGAAACAGCTGTCCAGTACTTCCTGATTTTCAATCCTTCGCTAAAAGATCACATGTCCCATTTTTATAAATTATTTAAAATAATCCTAACGTGTTTACGAAAAAATTGTGTATCACAAGTACTGTTTTGGAATAAAGCAAATTAATTATTTTTATTTTATTTTATTTTTTTATTTTTGATTACAGCTTGATTCCACACTGTATTTTTGGGACAAGTGTGGAATTTTCAGCGTGGACATCGGTAGCCCAAATCTAGCAGGCCGACCATAGATATCAGGTGTGCGTCGGCAGGGGATCGAATCTCGAACCAT